TATGATGCTAATGTCATCTCTACGGCTTATTTATCCATGACAATTCATGTAATATGACATTATAAACAATATTAATAACATAGAAACATGATATATACTCTAGAATGAATAAAATATGTCATAATGTATGAGAGGAGTAAATGGTGTAAGTGTTGTTGTTGGGTTTAAGGGCTGCCACTGAGAGAAGCCGTGTTGGTGACGGTGGAGGCTTTGGCCACCACAACCATCACACTGAAACAATGTACAGTATGTAATATATAAATAAGAAATATTTACATTGAAATTTATCAGTAAGAAATATTTACATTTTAATTTATAAATAAGTTACATACATACATTATCATACATAGCAGCATATGTGTAAAGTACCCAGGATAACCCAAAAAAATCAAGAGTGACATATTTCCATTAGTGTCCTTTTATATTTACACTTACATTTACTTTTATACTTATTATTATTATTATTTTTTTTATTAACACACTGGCCGATTCCCACCAAGGCAGGGTGGCCCGAAAAAGAAAAACTTTCACCATCATTCACTCCATCACTGTCTTGCCAGAAGGGTGCTTTACACTACAGTTTTTAAACTGCAACATTAACACCCCTCCTTCAGAGTGCAGGCACTGTACTTCCATCTCCAGGACTCAAGTCCGGCCTGCCGGTTTCCCTGAACCCCTTCATAAATGTTACTTTGCTCACACTCCAACAGCACATCAAGTATTAAAAACCATTTGTCTCCATTCACTCCTATCAAACACGCTCACGCATGCCTGCTGGAAGTCCAAGCCCCTCGCACACAAAACCTCCTTTACCCCCTCTCTCCAACCTTTCCTAGGCCGACCCCTACCCCGCCTTCCTTCCACTACAGACTGATACACTCTTGAAGTCATTCTGTTTCGCTCCATTCTCTCTACATGTCCGAACCACCTCAACAACCCTTCCTCATCCCTCTGGACAACAGTTTTGGTAATCCGCACCTCCTCCTAACTTCCAAACTACGAATTCTCTGCATTATATTCACACCACACATTGCCCTCAGACATGACATCTCCACTGCCTCCAGCCTTCTCCTCGCTGCAATATTTATCACCCATGCTTCACACCCATATAAGAGCGTTGGTAAAAACTATACTCTCATACATTCCCCTCTTTGCCTCCAAGGACAAATGTTCTTTGTCTCCACAGACTCCTAAGTGCACCGCTCACCCTTTTCCCCTCATCAATTCTATGATTCACCTCATCTTTCATAGACCCATCCGCTGACACGTCCACTCCCAAATATCTGAATACATTCACCTCCTCCATATTCTCTCCCTCCAATCTGATATCCAATCTTTCATCACCTAATCTTTTTGTTATCCTCATAACCTTACTCTTTCCTGTATTCACTTTTTTCTTCTTTTGCATACCCTACCAAATTCATCCACCAACCTCTGCAACTTCTCTTCAGAATCTCCCAAGAGCACAGTGTCATCAGCAAAGAGCAACTGTGACAACTCATACTTTATGTGTGATTCTTTATCTTTTAATTCCACGCCTCTTGCCAAGACCCTCGCATTTACTTCTCTTACAACCCCATCTATAAATATATTAAACAACCACGGTGACATCACACATCCTTGTCTAAGGCCTACTTTTACTGAAATATAATTTCCCTCTTTCCTACATACTCTAACTTGAGCCTCACTATCCTCGTAAAAACTCTTCACTGCTTTCAGTAACCTACCTCCTACACCATACACCTGCAACATCTGCCACATTGCCCCCCTATCCACCCTGTCATACGCCTTTTCCAAATCCATAAATGCCACAAAAACCTCTTTAGCCTTATCTAAATACTGTTCAATTACGTTTCACTGTAAACACCTGGTCCACACACCCCCTTCCTTTCCTAAAGCCTCCTTGTTCATCTGCTACCCTATTCTCCGTCTTACTCTTAATTCTTTCAATAATAACTCTACCATACACTTTACCAGGTATACTCAGCAGACTTATCCCCCTATAATTTTTGCACTCTCTTTTATCCCCTTTGCCTTTATACAAAGGAACTATGCATGCTCTCTGCCAATCCCTAGGTACCTTACCCTCTTCCATACATTTATTAAATAATTGCACCAACCACTCCAAAACTATATCCCCACCTGCTTTTAACATTTCTATCTTTATCCCATCAATCCCGGCTGCCTTACCCCCTTTCATTTTACCTACTGCCTCACGAACTTCCCCCACACTCACAACTGGCTCTTCCTCACTCCTACAAGATGTTATTCCTCCTTGTCCTATACACGAAATCACAGCTTCCCTATCTTTATCAACATTTAACAATTCCTCAAAATATTCCCTCCATCTTCCCAATACCTCTAACTCTCCATTTAATAACTCTCCTCTCCTATTTTTAACTGACAAATCCATTTGTTCTCTAGGCTTTCTTAACTTGTTAATCTCACTCCAAAACTTTTTATTATTTTCAACAAAATTTGTTGATAACATCTCACCCACTATCTCATTTGCTCTCTTTTTACATTGCTTCACCACTCTCTTAACCTCTCTCTCTTTCTCCATATACTCTTCCCTCCTTGCATCACTTCTACTTTGTAAAAACTTCTCATATGCTAACTTTTTCTCCCTTACTACTCTCTTTACATCATCATTCCACCAATCGCTCCTCTTCCCTCCCGCACCCACTTTCTTGTAACCACAAACTTCTGCTGAACACTCTAACACTACATTTTTAAACCTACCCCATACCTCTTCGACCCCATTGCCTATGCTCTCATTAGCCCATCTATCCTCCAATAGCTGTTTATATCTTACCCTAACTGCCTCCTCTTTTAGTTTATAAACCTTCACCTCTCTTTTCCCTGATGCTTCTATTCTCCTTGTATCCCATCTACCTTTTACTCTCAGTGTAGCTACAACTAGAAAGTGATCTGATATATCTGTGGCCCCTCTATAAACATGTACATCCTGAAGTGTACTCAACAGTCTTTTATCTACCAATACATAATCCAACAAACTACTGTCATTTCGCCCTACATCATATCTTGTATACTTATTTATCCTCTTTTTCTTAAAATATGTATTACCTATAACTAAACCCCTATACATTTTGCTTTTGTAATAACATAAATGCAAAAAAAAAACACGGTGTGAGTGAGGTTAGAAACTATGGCAAGTGAGCTGTAAAACTCCAGGCCAGTACATAAGCCACAGGGCCAGATGACTACAATAAGATTCATTCAGTTAGGTATATTTGTCACCACAGGGTTCTAAGCCCACCTGTACAGTGATTTGTTTGCAATCATGTTATTACAATTTTATGAGCATGACAACGGCTTTGAGGGGGGACTTGAGCTAGAGCTCATCATGGTTACACTGGTGGGAGATTCATCTGTAAAACAGTGAGGCCCATGCTAACTTCCCTATGGTGTATAAATATACCTAGTTGGATGATCCTTATTGTAGTCAGCTGGCTCAGTGGCTTACACACTGGCTCAGTTTTATGACTCACTTGCCATGGGTTCTAACCCCACCTGTACTGTGGTCTATTCTGCTCTGGATTCTATTGGCCCTGATACATATGTAGAGGAACTCCTATTACTGACCCTGAGGACAGCCCTGTATCCATCATTAAGGGATGGCTGAAGTCAGTGCAATTCTAGGCAGAGAAATCTTGATCATTGCAAGCAAACCCCACTCCTCATCCAGACTCCTGAGCAGACGGCAAGCACACTTGCTTAACCCCAACCAAAATCTTTACACTAAACATTCATGTGATCCACCAATGGTTCTAGAGAACCAACTGCACTAGACTGAGTGAAAACCTGTCTGGTCATAATGGCATGATACTTTCTCTTATTTATATGGCTGACTCCTGTAGAACAAACATTTGCAGAGCATAATTTTTAAATACCAACTAATAAAACAGGGATATCCCCTGTAGAAAGTTAATTTTCATCACCAATACACACACACAAAGCATCTGGCATATTCTTGTACTCAATACAGTTTTTACCCAACTCTCAACTGTCTACCTAACCATCTCTCATTAGAAAAAAATATTACAAATGTTATAATCCCTAAAATACAAATAAAAATAAACTCAGTGTAGGTACAGAAATAGCAGCAAAGAAAGTACACAAAGAAACAGTTCTCAATGAACAGCATATACTGTAGGTATATGCTACTAGTTTGACAAAATATATCACATATAGTATATCTGATCCTTAAACTACTAAGAAAACAAATAAATTAAAAAAATATATATTTTAACATTACTCAACAAGTGGAATTTAAAATAATATATTTCTTGATCCAAAGAGGAGCCATGAACACCTACACCAAATGATCATATACCATACATAAATGCATTTGAAAAAGTAACAACTGAAAACATGCATAAAAACTGTTGGAAGCAGTGTGAAAATGTACACACCCCTGGCAGTTGAGGAAAGGAATGCGACTGACACAGTCCCTCCTCTCCACTGTAACATAACACTGTTGGTCCCTCATGCATAGGTCATAATAAACAATAGTAGTTTATAAAATTCATGTATCTGGTAAAATGTTGGAAAGTAAAATCTGTGAGGTCTTGCATTTTAAACACACAAACTTTATACTGTACAATAAATCTTTTAAGTAACAAAAAAGGCACAATACCGTGTCTGGAACGATACACAAATAACCCGCACATAAAAGAGAGAAGCTTATGACGACGTTTCGGTCCGACTTGGACCATTGACAATGGTCCAAGTCGGACCGAAACGTCGTCGTAAGCTTCTCTCTTTTATGTGCGGGTTATTTGTGTAATAAATCTTTTGCTAGAGGAAGGATATGAACTGAGGATTTGAGGTAGGGTAACAGCTCTCAGCTAGTACAAATACACCTAGTACAGCTAGTACAAATACACCTAACCCTAACAGAACCTTTAGCAGTAATGTAGAACTATTCAATGTTAGTGATAATATCACTAATAGCAGATGCTTAAATAAAGACTTACCTATCTGGGAAGGCTTTGCCACATTTTTTGCATTTCAAGGGTTTGTCCGAGGTATGGAGCTTCTGCACGTGTATTCTGAGGTCAGTCTTTCGGCCGCACGTCGTTGGGCATAGCTCACAGGCATATACCGGCTTGTTCCCTGATGCAACATCCAAACACAGAATACCTCTTTCATTGTCAATTATCTTAATACATGACTAGCTTTTTACCTTCATATTATAATAAAGTTAATACACTATAGCTAAAAATTAAATGAGATCAAAATATGTTGCACCGTGTTCTCAAATAAAAAAAAATAATTCTGAAATTACAAACTATCTCTGCCCATTATTTATATGTTCATTTATAAAAAAAAAAAAAAATATATGTATTACTTTCCTAACTGTTACAACTTAAACCATGTACAACCCTATTAATAGTTTTACTCCTACTTCAAGCCTGCCCAAGGTGCTGTGCATAATTATAGGCTTCTCCAATTTGATCATAAACAGTTAACCCAACCATGCTATACAGGAGAAACCCCACTTGTGTGGTGGGTTAGGTTTCAGGCTACTGCTGTAAGCAAATTACTCTTTTTATTCACTTTCAGATACGTACATATAAATGCCTGATGACATGTTTACACCATCATCATAATTACATTAGCAATATAACTAGGTCTGAAAAAAAACAATAAAAAAGTAAAATGCATATACAGTATGCTCATTACTTACCCTAAAATATTTTTGGCTTTAATGTAGGATCACAGGAGAGTAGTACATATTTATTATAAGAAGTCAGGTGTGGTAGCCCACACACCTACCACATCTCACAATTATGTCTGTTTTACTATGATTGTATATACAGCGGTACCCTGAGTTTCGTACAGCTTCCAACTTGAACAATTATGTAAGTGTATTTTAAGGGGTCTGAAACGAACTAATCTAATTTACATTATTCCTTATGGGAACAAATTCGTTCAGTATTGACACTCAAACAGCCTTCTGGAACGAATTACGTTCATAACTCGAGATACCACTGCATTTTGTTTCTGATATGTACCATGTTTCTAATATAATTCTGAAAAAATGTCATAGATGGATTAATGAAAATGTGTATAATAATGTGATGAGGGTATCAAATGATTTAGATAAAGAAAAATTGGATATCAATTTGGAGAGGAGGAATATGGAATTAGTGAATGTTTCCAGATATTTGGGAGTTGATGCGTCAGCAGATGCATTTATGAAGGATGACATAAATCATAGACTTGATGAAGGAAAAAAGGAGAGTGGTGCGTTGAGGTATATGTGGAGACAAAAAACGTTATCTATGAATTCAAAGAAGGGAATGTATGAAAGTACAGTAAGGCCCCGCTTTACGGCATTTCGCCTTATGGCGTTCCACTAATACAGCAATGTCAAATTATGACCAAAATTTGCTATACGGCAAGCGGTCTTTCAAATACGGCGCCCCCACCCGGTTTGTTTACATTTTCTGTGACCACATCTATTATGTCAGGAAACTTTCCAAAATTTCAAGTGTTTTAAAGTTACTGCATATTTTATATGTACTCTGATAATTATACTTATGTGTACCTGTACCTAAATATACTTACACATTGTGCTGGTGTGCAGGTACACATTAAAATCGCTAAGTCTCTCTCTACTTATGACGCCAATACTACGTAATAATAATCACTCTTGGGCACACTAAATGTCTTATTTTACATCAATATAGGCATTTTCATTAATCCATCTATGATATTTTCCTCAAAATTATATATGAAACCCATTACATAGCATATAAACATGATACATACACTCACAGAATAAAAATTGACGTAAATATGAGATTTGTTTACAAAGCAGCTGTGTAGGTAGTGTCAGAAGAATTATGTTTTCTCTAGTCAAATTGGGGGATAACTGTAGAAAAATATTCTTTTCATATGCCTTTACTCTATATATAGCAATTCACGACCCTTGTGGGTTTAGTGCTTTTTATAATAAATAATAATAATAATAATAATAATATTAATATTAAAAATAATAATAATAATAATATTATTATTATCTTCATTCACTCTAAAAATGGTGTGTTGCTGTTTGTTTATTCTGAACTAACTTGTACAACTTGTACACAATGTAAGAGTATTTGTATTGTGAGGTAATTATTATTATAATAAAAAAATATTGAGGTAAATGTTTTACAAACTCTTACAAACGTACGTGAATGAACTAAAAGTAGACACATATTAATACACATTTATTTTGCCTGACCAAGTGACCATCCACTACCTGTTCAGTTTGTGTTCTTACATTGTCTCAACTCTGTATCTCGTTCTCTCTCTCGTTTACTCTTTCGTTAATTAGTTGGCTCTCATTGACGATGGCGTCTAAGCTTAGCTGTGATAAAAAGAGAAGTCGTAAGCCTCTTGCTTAAGTGCCAAGTTAGAGGATGATGGTGTGCCATTCTGATTTTATTCAATAAACACCCTGCCACTCACCTCTCACACATTATTATTATATTTTAAGGTAAGTAATAAGTGTAGTACTCTGTGTGTATCTTACCTTTTATTGTGTTTTTAATGCCTATTTCTATTGCTAACTTAATATAAGTTAGTGTAAACTTGTTGTCTGGCATTTATTGCATATTTTATATGTGCTCTGATAATAATACTTGTAGAGCTGTGTGGTAGCCGGGTGGAGGGACAACATTACGTTTTCTCTGCTCAGCCATCAGAGAAAACGTGTATGAATCTGCGTTTGGCCCAGCCACTCCCTCACTCCGCTTTTGTTTACAATTTTTGTCATGAATTATTCATTACTTCTACCTTTGTTTATGATGGCATCTAAAGGTAGTTGTTAGAAATGATTAAATTCAGTGAACAAGGCATGTCGATGTTAATAATATGGCTCTGGCCCACATATTTTAAGTTAAATAATGAGTGTACTGTATGTGTATTTTACCTCTCTGGGATGTTTTAAATATCGTATATTAAGTATGAGACGGGGAGCCAGGGCTACCTACACCTAGGCTACCTGCACCTGACTTCCTACAAATAAGTACTACTCATCTCTCTCCCTACATTAAGATTACAAATACTTTAAGATAAGTAAAGAATTTACTGTGAATGTATTTTACTTTGTGTGTTTTTAATGCCTAGTTCTATTACTAACTTAATATAATTTAGTGTAAACTTGTTGTCTGGCATTTATAAATGGAAAAAATGGCGTTCTGCCTTCCGGCGATGTCTGCTTTCCAGCGACAGCCTGGAACCTAACCCGCCGTATAAGTGGGGCCCTACTGTATTGTGGTACTAACACTCTTATATGGGTGTGAAGCTTGGGTTGTAAATACTGCAGTGAGGAGACAGTTGGAGGCAGTGGAGATGTCATGTCTAAGGGCAATGTGTGGTGTAAATATTATGCAGAAAATTCGGAGTGTGGAAATTAGGAGAAGGTGTGGAGCTAATAAAAGTATTAGTCAGAGGGCTGAAGAGGGGTTGTTGTTAAAGTGGTTTGGTCATTTAGAGAGAATGGATCAAGTAGAATGTCATGAAGAGTGTATAAATCTGTAAGAGAAGTAAGGCGGGGTAGGGGTTATCCTCGAAAAGGTTGGAGGGAGGGGGTAAAGGAGGTTTTGTGGGCGAGGGGCTTGGACTTCCAGCAAGCATGCGTGAGCGTGTTAGATAGGTGTGAATGGAGACGAATGGTATTTAGGACCTGACGAGCTGTTGGAGTGTGAGCAGGGTAATATTTAATGAAGGGATTCAGGGAAACCAGTTATTTTTATATAGCTGGACTTGAGTACTGGAAATGGGAAGTACAATACCTGCACTTTAAAGGAAGGGTTTGGGATATTGGCAGTTTGGAGGGATATGTTGTATATCTTCATACATACATGTATATGCTTCTAAACTTTTGTGTTCTGGGCACCTCTGCAAAAACAGTGATTATGAAAGTATTTTCTTCTTGGGGATTTTCCTTCTATTTGAGTCGCACTGCCACAGTGGGAGACATCAACTTGTTAAAAAAAAAAAAATGGATTTGTTTTCCAGCGATGTCTGCTTTCCGGCAGAAGCCTGGAGCCTAACATGCCATATAAGTGGGGCCCTACTGCATCAGCAAAATTAACCGATACCCACAGATACTTGTACCGATAGCGGTATAATCAAAACTGGCCAATACCCACTGACATCGATCCTCACTTTTAGGTCAATACTATGGCACACCCTTACTCATCACCTTACTTTTTTCAATGTTCAATTTTAATTTTCTTATTTTTAAATACACTCCTAAATTCATTTGCACCTTGTCTTTAGAATCTCCAAAAATGAACTGCATAGGGATTTCATGATACCAAATTTTTTTGCAGATACTGATACAGTTGTACCTCGAGTTACAAACTTAATTCATTCCAGAAGGCTGTTCGAGTGCCGATACCAAACGAATTTGTTCCCATAAGGAATAATGTAAATTAGAATAGCTGTAAATTAGATTAGCTGTTCAAAACTTGAGGTACCACTGTACTTAGTTTTGGACCAATACTGATACCATCAAAATTACTAAATATGCACCAGTGCTAGTAAAAATACCAAAGCTATCAAAATTGGCTAACATCCAATACCAATACTTAGTTTTATGGGAGTTGACTTGTCAGCAGATGGGTTTATGAAGGACAAGGTTAACCATAGAACTGATGAAGGAAAAAAGGTGAGTGGTGCTTTAAGGTATCTGTGGTGACAAAAAAAGTTATCCATGGAGGCAAAGAAGGGATGATAGTATAGTGGTACCAACACTCCTATATGGGTGTGAAGCATGAGTTGCAAATGCTGCAGCAAGGAGGAGGCTGGTGGCAGTGGAGATGTCATGTGTGGTGTAAATATTATGCAGAGAATTTGTAGTGTGGAATTTAGGACGTGGTGTGGAGTTACTAAAAGTATTATTCAGAAGACTGAGGAGGGGTTATTGAGGTGGTTTGGTCATTTGGAGAGGATGGAGCAAAATAGGATGAGTTGGAGAGTGTATAAATCTATTGAGGAGGGGAGAAGCAGTAGGGGGTTGTCCTAAGAAAGATGGAGGGAGGGGCTAAAAGGGGTTTAGTGCCCAAGAGACTTGGACATACAGCAGGCATGTGTGAGCATGTTAGACAGGAGTG